CATCACCCGAAGCCATCACTAGGATGTGCCTCAATCTGTGCACAGAATTCCTACATGCAGAAAGATTTCACACTGCTGACTTACAGGCCTTTGTTTCCCCATTGCCCAGCGGACCCCTCCCTAACCAAGGGGGCCGCATCCTAAGCCGCCTGGTCCCCTCCTACTGCATTGGGTGCTATTTCTCAACTCCTCTAAGACCACTGACTCTTCTTCCTCTCCTTCTACCAGGAGTTCTCCCACCAGGCTGCACCTTAGAATCCTTGAGGGGCCTTTAATATTCCCAGAGGTGAGAATCTTTTGGGGTGTGTCGGCTGACCTCAGCATTTGTTTATTATTATTTTAGAGACAGGGTCTCGCTCTATCGTTCAGGCTGGAGTACAGTGGAGTGATCGTGGCTCACTGCAGCCTCGACCTCTAGGGCTCAAGCAATCCTCCTGCCTCAGCCTCCTGAGTAGCTGGGACTACAAGTGTGTACCACCATGCCTGGATAATTTTATCTTTAATAGAAATGAGGTCTTGCTATGTTGCCTAGGCTGGTCTGGAGCTCCCAAAGTGTTGGGATTATAGGCGTGAGCCACTGTGCCCAGAGCAGACCTGAGTATTTCTAAAGCAGCTAGGGTAGTTCCAACATGAGCTAAGGCTGAGTTGGGTAGATCTCAGAATCTCCTGAGACTTGGCAAACTCACAAAGGTGCTCACCCCTCTCCTTCCCTCCCAGGCATCCCCCAGGGCACAGAAAGGCCCTGCTTCAACCCATCTGGCTCTCTGAGTACCTGATTCACTCTCTTGGTTTGCAGATTCTGCTGCACAATTGTTTGAGAATGCGGGCCTACAAGTTCATTTTCCAAAGCCCTAGTCTTGATTCTCTTTCCAGCCACGCTGGCCCCTTGGCGGCTTCACCTGGCCTAATGGTTTGACCATAGTCTTCCTGCAAATGACACTTGTGCCTTCTGCCCTGATCGCTGAGATCCAATTTCCAACAGTCTATTGGGCATTTCTCCAAGGAGAGCCCTCCGTCACCTCTTTGCCAAGCTCTCCTTGCATCCTAAGTTCTGTTAAAATCTCCCCTCGGCTGGGCATGGTGGCTCGCGCCTGTAATCCCAGCACTTTGGGAGGCTGAGGCAGGCAGATCATGAGGTCAGGAGTTCGAGACAACCCTGGCCAACATGGTGAAACCCCGTCTCTACTAATAATACAAAGAGTAGCCGAGCGTGGTGGCACATGCCTGTAATCCCAGCTACTCGGGAGGCTGAGGTAGGAGAATCCCTTGAACCCGGGAGGCGGAGGTTGCAGTGAGCAGTGAGCCGAGATCTGGCCATTGCACTCCAGCCTGGTGCAACAAGAGCGAAATTCCATCTCAGAGAAAACAAAAACTAAAGCAAAAAAACTCCCCTCATGCCCTGCAAACCCAATTACCTAAGCTCAAACCTCTGGAGCCTTTGGTGGCGCTTTCCTTTCCTGCCCCCACCAAGCCTTTCGACTCCTCCTCTGGGACATTACTGTAATTTACCAAGGGCCTCTGGTTCCTCCAGCCTTGCCAACGGGCTGGCCCTTACTCCAGCTGCACAGACCCTGGGCATGCCTCCCACCTCCAGATTCCCTCCTGTCCATCTTACACACTGTTCTTGATTAGTTTTTCTTGGAGCCTCTGGGAACTCCTCACTGCCCTGGGAAAGTCTAAATTCCCTGGCCTTGACTCAGGGTTCTTCCCTAATCTGACCCCAGACAACCTTGCTTGCCTTCATGCCCATACCATGTCCCGCCACCTCCCACCCCACGGCCTGTATTTTGGCTAGGCCACTGCCTGGAATGCCACCAGAGCAAGCCAAGAGTCACCAAGGCACCATGATTCTACAGTATCCTGGAAGGATGTAGTCAATTAAGTGTTTCAAAAGATCAGATCTGCTGTTGGCTTCCTTGTTCTACACTTGGTAGGCAGTGTGTGTAATGGTAATGGCTTTGGAGTTTTTATACCTGACTTCAAATCCTAGTTCTGTTGTTCTGTTACTCATTAGCCATGATGCTGGGTAAATTTCTTTCTTTTTCTTTTTTTTTTTCTGCAGAGACAGTCTCGCTATGTTGCCCAGGCTGGTCATGAACTCCTGGCGTAAAACTCTCACCTCAGTCTCCCAAAGCTTTGGGATTACAGGCATAAGCCACTGTGCCCAGCCAGGGCAAAACTTTTGACTTCATCAAGCCTTAATTTCCTCTTCTATAAAATGGAGTTAAGAAGGGCTCCTTCCTCATAGGTTGTACTATTTCATGAGATGATATGTGTATGTCAGGCTGTGTCTCTCCAAGGATGGCTGCATCAATATTGCTACTATTCACATGCTCTTTTTACAAGTGATGGACATTCCTCTCTCTGACAGATGGGGCGTAGGTCCCTTCCCCTTGAATCTAGGGATCCTGTGACTATTTGACCAGTAGAATGTGCAGGAAGTGATGCCATGTGACTTTTGAGACTAGGTCATTGAAAGGATACAGCTGCCACCTGGCTCTCACTCTTCATACTCACCCTTGGAATCCAGCCACCATGTTGTGAGGAAGCTCAATCTAGCTGAAGCAGACGTGGGAGCAGCCCACATAGAGAGGAACTGAGGTCCCCAGATGACAGCCAGCATCAACGCTGGACATGTGAACAAACAGGTGTGCCCTGAGAGGACTTCAGCCCCAGCCTTCAGCCCCAGACCGAGCCCCAGCTGAGGCCTCAGTCATCCCAGCATACAGTTAAGCTGCCCTTGCTATTCTCTGTCCAGATTCTAGAGTCACAGGATCTGTGAACATGATAAATGATTGCAGTATACCATTATGTTTTGGGGTAATTTGTTACATAGCCATAGAAACTAGAAGAGTAGAGAAAAATGTTAAAAAATTGTATCTAATATTTGTAGTGTTACAATATTGGAAGCCTACACATTTTTCACAGTTTAGTTTAAACATCACCTCCTCAATGAGGTTTACCCAAAACCATTCAAATAGAATTCAAAAACAGAGTGGTTGAGCACTTACCCTACCCTGAACTTCTTTCTAGGTAGATTTCCCATGCATTATCTCATTTAATCCTTACAATAACATGACAAGCTCAATTTAAATAAATATACATTGTTAGTTGTTTATTAATTTTCATTACTTGGCTCTGTCTATAAAAAAATTACATCAATGAATCACACTGATTTCAGTTCTTAAAATAATTTTAT